CTGTTTGCGTGCGGAGGGTTGCAAAAAATGTTTCCGTCGCTACTCGGTCATTCCCTGCATACGGAATGCCGATGTTGGCCCAAATTTTGGGGGAACAACGATCACAGCAGAGCATCGCGCACCTGTAAATTGACAGTTTGTTGGAGACAGGCAGGTTGGTCATATGAGGTTCAAAGATGTTCAGTGAATAATAAACATACGTGTCATTTAACTGGGTGATTGACGAAATCTTGGCTGACCTGTGATTGGCGAAATCGGGTGCTGGTCGACCGCAAGTACCTATCAAGGCCCACAAACATTTCGAGTAAAGGCTCTACTTCTGAAATCGGTCCTCAAGGAGTACTTTGCCTTCATGATGTTCACAAAATTGAAAGGTGTACCTCCAATCAATCCTGCATCCCAAGACCCCATCCCACGCACCCTGAAAATCGACAGGAACATCGTCCTTTTTGGGGTGTAGCTACCGCTGGCAGATCTGCAAATCCCTGCGACAAATGCAGGCGTCCGAAGCGCCTCCTTGGGCCACTCGGCCCATTTTCAGTTCCAAAGAGGCATTGTGTTAGTTCAGAGTCTCGAAGTGTCCAAGAACCACGCTGACCTTGGAATTTCTGGTGGTATGTTGTGGTTTCTTTTCCTGTCACCGTGGTGATTAGCTGAATCATACTCATGGATACTAACTAGCTACTACAGGAAATGTCTTCTAAAACTGTATGTATTGGATTCGATGTACGCTATGTAGTTGTGCTACTTGTCTCCCTTAGTTCAAGATAATTCAGGTACACAAGGTTTGTGCAGGAGTTGCGTATTGCGGGAGGTGCCTTGTGCCTCCATGTTGATCACATCATCCAGTGAATGGGGTCAAATGATGGGTGACCCACAGAAACAGACTCTCGCACCAGTTGATGCAGCAGAAGATCATGTAAAACTCGATCCTCCTGGATCTGAACAAGCTTTTTCTGTGAATCCCCATCATCTCCGTATCTCCATGGGAGAAATCCACCAAATGGCCACCACACTGAGGTGAAACTAGAAGTGCTAGGCCGTCAAGTGGAGGACAGGATTTCCCTCTTGATCTCGCGCCCGGTCACGGAGTTTGGCCCGATCGCACCGAGAGGGGAGATGTCCATGACGTCACGCTACGGGCGTGTTTTGGGGGCCGTTATGGCCCGATGGGTAGGAACAGCAACCAACGTGGCGACTGTGCCCCTGTTCGATTGGTCGATTAGAGAGCCCAGAACTTGGGTTCTGCCATGTCCTACATGTCCCTGAAGGGTCCAACCAAGGCCTCGATGTGGTTTTTGGGGAAATGAAGGCTTTTGAACAGCTGGATGAAGGTGACTGACGAAAAATGTTCAACATGTTGAAGACGAAGGCCTTCGAACCCTAGCAGATTTCGAAGAGACGGCTAAGGATCATGAATCATTAAGGATCCTTTCAGGATCTTTCATTTGTTTCTTTTCATGCTTGCGTGTGGTCTCGGGATCGCAGCTGGAGGTGTTAGAAACCTTCTTGACCGACATCACACTCGGTCAAGATCTGAGAATTTCCGCGGACCAAAACTGAGAAACGCTGTAACAGGAGATGCAGCAAGCCGAAAAGCAAATGGAGGCCCTTTTCGTTCCGACGGCCGTGGACGACCGTGGAGTACGTGGTCCTTTGAGTTAGGGGCCACTTTGAAGGTCAAGACGGTCAGTTTTCGCGGATGCGAGTTTGTGCATGGTGTAGACGGTTGATGAATTCGACTCCCCCATTTGGATAAATCACACCATGTTGAAAACCTCTTTATGTGGGGGAGGTTACTAATCAACTGTCTACAGTACATGCATACGTGCCTTATTTGGCGGAGTCACATTCCGAAGAGAAGAACTACGAGTAGTAATGGCCTCCAACCTACTAGCGATGGCCTCCAACCTAGAAGCTTCTAGCTACTAGTAGTAATGATCACCATTGCAAACCATGTGGGAAAAATCGCAGAACTGTCACTTGACGTCTTTTGTGTCGGCCGTGGAGCTTCTACGGGCCGAGAGTCTCGCGTGGACTCGGGCCGTGGATGGGAGGTGCTGAAGGTATCTGAAAAGCCACAGAAGATGAGTCGAGGTACACAAAGAAATCGGTTGCAACTCCCAAAAATTCTGCTGTTTCTTAAGGGTCGTACCAGATCAGCCGGGTTGCACTCCAATCGTTTTCCTAGAAAGCTTGTTTGTTCGTTCCATTTGGCCATGAGGCCAAGCTGGAAAGCTTTGTTCGGGACCCTGTGGCATGAGGAGGGGCACTAGCTTTATGTGTTGTGTGTGACGAGCAAACCATGATTCTAGTCTTGGGAATCATCCTGCAAGTCAATCCAAGTCAGAACTAAACGCGGAACCAGCATACACTCGATGAAATTCTTCAGTCTTTCGACCCCGCTGAGGCACAGCGCAAAGTGTCTCATTCCATGAATAGCTCTCCTTCTGGCCTTTCAAGCTGGGTTTTCCATGGTTTTCCTACATTAACTAGTTAATTACATTGCATGACTGATTAATAGATCCCCTGCTGCCCATTTCATGGCTTCTCAACCGCGCTGAGGTGGCCAATGCAGCGCTCTGAGCTGGCCGATGGCCAATCCGCGCGTGTCGGCTGGGATGCTCCGGCGCCGCCAGGACTAAAGAAGCGTTTCTTTTATAAGATCCGAAACGTCAAGATGTGGTCACCGAAGGTGGCAGTGAATTCTGGGGTCGCCGTGACCGCCTCTTGCGGGGTCCAAGCGGTCCACTGAGCCTCGATCATTGCAGGTGGCGCTTGACGGCCGACGGCCTAATTCAGAGGGAAGTCGAGTGGCTGACCATGTCAAAGTGCCCTGGAGACTCTTTGACTTCAACACATCACACCCTAGGAGAACTTACCTTTGCATATGCCATACAAAGTGATTCCGCGTTGGCTAAGAGGGGTGAATCTCGTAAATTCTTTGTGCAATGTGGTGTTTGCGGGTGCGGATAGTCGACTATTGGATTGGTCAAACACCGGTTTTGCGAAGGCTCGATCACCTGGATTCGCTGGGGCGTCCGAAGACAGTTCTTGAGGTACAGCAGACCATGGCAGACCATGGCCATGAATGTCATGAGGTTTGTTCTGAGCTTTTGCTTTTCCTGATAGGGCCACTATATATCAAGAGTGGTTGACAACATTGCTTCGGAGCGTGCTACAGTCTTCCAAGCAAACCTTTGTTTCGGTGGATTCTCGGCCGGGTGGCCACCATCTACGGATTTGTTCCCGCTACTCGGTTTGTTGACGCGTGGACCAACTCCAACATCACAAAGGGCCAATGCGTCGGCTATACATAATCACGGATACCGCGATGGGCAAAGTAAACATGCAAAACACATCAACACAAGTTTTATCAAAAAAACATAATGTGATAAGGAGCCAGCTGCCTGATTGTTAAGGCGTAGTCTTGCAAACTCGTTTGAGTTTGAAGCACACGGTGCTTGGTGGTTCGCCTCTACCCTGGCCTGTTTGCTTTCATTGTGTTTTTGTTTGATCGCGCTTTACAAATTTGATATGTTTTTTGTTGTGTGTGCAAATTGTTCGAAAAGCGCTCAATCGCGTTTGTCCTGGCTTGTTATTTTCTTTCATTGCCAGTAGTATTTTTGTTCAACCATTTCTTCAGCTTGCAAATTGTGATGGGTTTGTTTTGGCAGCGTGCAAAAGTGTTCGATCGCAACGGCCTGCTGGTAGCCTGCAAGGCGATGCTTCTCAGTTGTTTTGGCTGTTTGTTTCTTTGATACATACAATTTGCCTGTGGTGACCCGAGTGCAGGCCTTGGGAGCGGTTTTTGTTCCTCCTATTTTTCCTGTTGGGGATCATCTTCTCCTAGCACGCCCCTATTAGGTTGTAATTGGTTGCAAGTGGATGCAAGCGGTTCCTTAACATTTTTAAACATACATATTTAAACATTTATATAGGGTAGTGCGAGCACCAATCCTTCGCTTCTACATAAGGGGTCTTTGAGCGATTCCAAGTTGTTGGCATTTGCTGTAAACCCTGGCGCTGGGCCCAGGCCACTCGACACACCACTCGACGCATGTGTACATTACGTCATTGCTTCGCCCAAAATGAGGTGAATCGACCAGAGTTGTCGACCAGTGAATGTTTCCGGCTAGGGGCCCTCACTTCTCATTTTGGGAGTTCAGCCTTCAGTTCTTTCATCTGGTCCCCAGCTAAGGATCTCCAAAAATACCACGATGGGGGGGGGCAACGGTGAACTCTGGCGGACCCCTCGCCTGCCACCGCCGCGTGGACAAACAAACATTGCTTCCCCGAGCACCTGTTCCAAGCAACGAGCCATAACGAACCTGGCAACGAGGCCGGAGTAGAAGCTTCCAAGCCAGGTTTGCTCGAAAGGGTGAAATTCTACTTGAAATTCCATCCGTAAAGGCCGCTCCATTTGGAGTTAGAGGAGGGATGAACGACCCACTTGGAGTTACTGTAGGTTGACTGTTCCAAAACATGAGTGACCTGCTGTGTGGGCAGCTGTGGATTGAGTGGTGTGCTTGATCACTGTCAGTGGTATTGAGTAGTAGTCAAACAGTCAAACGCTTAAAGCATCTGAGCGCCAAAACACGTGGAGGCCCACTACAAGCACCAGCGGAGTTGCCCCATTGGTCCAAAAGGTTCCGGGTCCTTTTGTCCCAAAGAACCGCTGTTGGACAGAAGCATGACGACCGAGATGGCGGGGAGGAAGTTCAGGCCCAAAGATCCCAAAGATTCAGGGCCAACGATCCAAGATTGACGCAGACTTTGGAAGAACATGGTTCGTCCTGGTTTTGTGGTGATTTGTCATGCATATATATATAATTAACTAATAAAACAGTAATATAAGTAACATAATATAACAATGATAACATAGTATTACTATAATGATCTATATATATATACACTATATACCATATAATCCCTCTATCCCTTGTGCCCGGTGGGCCCGGGTGCGGCCCGGCCGACGGGCGCCAGGGGCCCTCCCTGCCAGGCGCTCCGTGACCTGTATCATGAAGTGGCCGAGCGTGTGGGGCCCTCCCAACTGAGAGGCTGATGCTGTGGGGTCCTCTCTGGAGGTCAGAGATGGCTTGCAGCTGCAGCCACCGGGGTAGGGCACTTCATTGCACTCAACATGATGCAGAATGATCCCCCAAATATGCATGCAAGACCCATTGGTCCATTCCGATATTCATCAGGAGAACAACATGGGCATCCGGACCAAAATCAAGAGCAGAAATCCCTGGTGACTCTTTGTGGATTATACAAGTGGGAACAAACATGGGCACCGTGATAGGTGCCTTCAGAATGGACAGAGGTGCAAAGACCACGGGCTGGCTTTGTGTCTTGATTTCTCTTTTGCAATCCTCAAGACAAGCAACCAGAACGGACTTTATGTTCAGATTCATTTGGGCAGTTGCCCACAACATAAGGGCTGGAAGGAAGGTATGTGTAGCGGTATTTCTGTTGGCACGACACGTAGACGAACTAAGCTAGGTTGGGTTGTGCAATCCGCACAGATCAATGATCCCGTGATGCACCGGAACATAGCTAGATAGATAGATTAGATAGATAAGAAAGAAAGATGATACAGATGATAAAGATAATAAATAAATAAAGAAAGAAAGAACGAAAGAACAAAAGAAAGAAAGAAACATTTTTACTTGTTGAATATGATGGATCAATGATGGATGCCTGTATTCCGCTGTAGGGCACTAGCGATCCACTGTTTGCGTAACATAAAGAGGTTACAACCAGCTACTAGCTTCTTCCAGGTTTGTGCTTGTGATGTCCTTCCTCACTCTTTTAGATCGCGGGCTACTTCGCGCGTGTCTCAGGGATTGCCCTGGACCGAAGAGGATGGCAACCCTTGGGAGGAGCCGAAGCGGAGCATTGGGGGCCGTGTTTCGGGGCATCGGGGTGCGAGGTGAATGCCTTATTTTTCTAGGTGAACTCGGCACTTGCGAGCGCTTGCATGTCCACAATGAGCGCCACTTCATGTGCGGGGTGCCATAGTTGGGCCGAAGAAATGATGGAACGGGATGTCCTCCATAGAGATTTGTGAGTGGGAGAAGTTTTGTAGAGTTTTGTATATCCTGGGAGAGTACAAACGCATCCAATATATATACTGTACAGTATATAATATATATATATATATTATATTGTAATTAAATATAAGTCCTCAGACCTTCTGTGCCGAGCACCTGAGCAGAAGTATACAGCTAACATATGGGATATCTCCCACAACACACACACATACATCGTATAAATGTTTGAGTTGCATCTGTGACACATTGTTTCTCACTGTGACTTGGTTTGAATAGTAGTTTCTCCGCCAGGGTTCAAGACTGAGTGGCCATTGTTGTGCATCAAAAGCATTCCAAGATAATTCCTAGGCGGTTTCTGCTGAAGAGTAATTATGAAGACTTGGGAAGTCCACCCCAATTCAAAAACTTGGAACAGATTATTTACTGTATTTAGTTCATTAATATCATATGATTGTCCTTTAGATATTGACAATATGTTTTAAAGGTGTTTCTAGAACAAGCACTCGACGCTAGGACTCCCCATACAAAGCTCTAGATGATCCAATGGTGATGGAACCAGGCAGATTCTGTTTCGTCCCAACGTTCGCTACGCAGGACAAGTCTCCGGAGGCCAAGAGGTGCGGCAAAACGTGAGTTTGCGCGAAGGAAATTAGTGGATTTGGCCGTAGTACCTGCGTGTGTTCTTCTCTTGAAGCCTTAGATGGTTCCCGACCTATATCCTCTAAGAAAACCTTGTAGGTGAACGTGCGGAGACCGGCCACTCGGAGTGAGACTCTTTGGCAGCCCTCTCTCGAGACTCTCAAGACTTGCAGTAGATCTCGATATCGTAACTTATGCATATAATTCAGTAAATCAATACATAACCTTCGAATTATTTCACATATCCCATATTCTACCATGAACATTACAAGCTGTATATTGGGCTCCAATGTAGCTTTGGCCTTGGAGCAAACAAAGGCTCCCGAGGTCGTTTTGGTGTTCACCGTTTCGCCACCGGAGTCGTCAGGACCGCGATCGACCAGGCGAGGGCGGCCCTGCCACACTTGAAGGGGAATGACGTGGTCAGAAAGAGTCTGCAAACTCAGGTGAAGAACCATTTCATGTTTTCCGACTCAGTAGGCGAGTTCAGCTATGCTCGGACCTACTGCTGGTGAGTCCGTGAAGACTGAACACTTCGTTCATGATAGACTTGGGTCACCTTATAGGAACATGTGGTTTGTAATGCATCGGGAGAGCTGGTACCAATCGTGTTTATTCGATCGGTACTGGTAGGTCTGGACCCAAGAACTCCCCTCCTCTTGTACCCACCCGTTCACTGGGAAGAGGAGTGGTTGTGCTGATTCCAACGCTTCTCTAACTTCAAAACCCCTCTCAAAAGGTTCCACAACCAACCTTTAACATGCAGCTATATGCTGTTGATCATTTTCCCATCTTGATATGTTGGTCCACAAAGGACTTCTCCTCTCGTTGTTTCTAACGCGGGCCTAACCGACTGAACACACCGAAAAAGCGTCCGCGCAGGGCACCAGCACGACTCCAGCATCACACACGTCTCGTGGCATCTCAGATGGATCGCCTCAGGAGACCCGGAGTCGATCTCGCGGCGACGACCCGGGCCGTAGAGATCCGCCGTTGGCCATGTTTTTGGACAGACACCATTTAATGGACAGATGGTGTGGATGTTGCACGTGGCATTGATATGTGAACATATTGGAACATGAGTTGGCTTTTAGTTGTTCAAGAAGATCAAGAAGTGTTTGGGTTGGACCCAGCCTCAAAATCGATGTCAATACATAAGAACATCTTTGCAAGGTTTCCTTGAGATGCCGTGTAGGAAACCTCTTGGATTTCACCACAAAACAGATCCTCCACTTGGAGGGCTCGCTGCCTCGCTACGCATCAGGAGAGGGAAGCGGAGCTCTTAAACGAGTCGACCACTTTGGAACAGCCCAGCCAGGCAGCGAATGGGTGCTGTGCCCAAAGAGTCGCCGGGCGTTTCTCCCCCCCGGACTCGCCCTGCCTTTGGCGTTTTCAAACATGAAAAACATCGAGGTCCGCCAGATCACATATGAGTCAATGATGCGTTTGTGGGTGAAAAGATGTTGCATAAAACTATACACTTATAATCATATATATATATAATATACATATAACTGTCTAGCCATGTCGTCCAAGGTTCTCCTCCTTCCCAGGTGTACTTGTTTTTCTTGTGACAATATGACATAGTGCAAAGGACGCGGAGACCAGAATGTTCACATATCCGACAAGAGCAGTGCCTCCAACAAGGAAAGACAGCATTTTGCTGATCATATGTCTGGGGCACATCCTCAGTATTGACCATTTTTGCGGTCCTCTTCGTTAGCTGACAGGGTGTGGGTGTGTGTGGGTGTTGCTGGCAGGGAACGGGCGTAGTGGAGCCGGTGGCCTCTGATGGTGGCGCCAGCCAGGAGACCTGGGAAGGGCTGGCGGGTAAATATTCACCAGTTGTTTTCAAGTGTTTGTTCCTTTCCAGATCAACATATGTGTGCTTCCTTTCATGGTTTAATGGATAGATAGATAAACAGTCTTTCAGTTCTTAATTACCTACCGGAGGATACTTGTGGTACCACAGAGCAGGTACCCGGGAGCATCCTCCGGTGCAAACCGGCGACAACCTGGACTACCTGGTAGGACTCATTAGCTTCTTGTTACTACTAGTAAGGCACTTGTTACTACTAGCGTGGCACCTGTTACTACTAGCGTGGCACTTGTTTCTAATAGCTTCTTGTTACTACTAGTAAGGCACTCATTGATTCCTCAAATCCATGTGACCTGATTTTGAGTGAGGCCCACTCGAACAAGGATGTGGCTGCCATGACCCACTCAAACAAGGATGTTGCATGCAGGTTACTAAGAAGCTTCAAAGACATACTAAATAGCTTCTCGTTATACTACAGGTGAAAGGATTCCCAAGGCAGCGTCTAGTTACAAAGCTTTCTTGTTACTAGTAGCGATGGCCTCCAACCTAATAGCGATGGCCTCCACCTAGTAGCTTCTAGTTACTAGAAAGCTTTCTTGTTCCGGACCCTTGAGTCACTCCATGGAATCTCTCGAGGGAGTTGCAGGATGTTGGCAGACGGAAGGAGAGTCGAGAGTCCTGACTGGTGTCCTCCATCCTCATCCCCACAGCACGAACATGCACGAACTATGTAGTCTACAAGTCTCGACACAGACGGTCAACGGGTTGAATTGGAGATAGATTGTTTTGTTAAAGAACTATGCAACTTGAATTTGAACCATGAACGTCCAACATCAATTCCATTCAAATCATAACTCCCAACATCTGGACTCAACTCGCTGGACCGAAACTGAGCGAGTCCTTCGAGTCCCAACTTCAACCCCTTTTAATTCATTTGATGCATCTCTTTCTACTTCCTCAACCCATCATGGTGGACTCTCAAATTCTTTTGATGATTTCGACCTCTACCCGACCAGCGATTCTTCCGGTCAGGAGAAGGGCACCTCCATGACACCGCCCGCCCCCGTGGCCCTCGAGCCCGTCGTGCCCGCCGAGCCCATCGTGCCCGAGACGCACCGCCCGACGCCCACGGCCAAGCGCCACAGCATCGGCCACAGCTACAGCGCGATGCCGGTGGTGAGAATGCCGGTGCCCACGTTGGAGGCAGGTCGACCTGCGACAGGCCTCGTTTTGCCAAAGGGTCTAGCAAAAAGAGCACTGTTGTCGCTAGTTAGGGCGGTTGAAGACAAGTTCATCATACTTATTTAGAGTTTGAACAAAAACACATAGATGACAGATCATACTTACTCAAACTCACTGGTTGGAAGGTTAGACTAATTGTTAAAATACGAACCCGCCTGCGAGTCTATGTTTGCTAGGCCTCCCCGCTGTTGACCATTTTGGCCACCTCACCGATCAGGCCACCTGGCCAAGCTCTCATGCAGACTCCCGCGCAGAGAGTGGGCAGCCGGAACCGTTGTGGGCGAAGGAGCGGCGGCAGCGCAGAGAGTAGAACGTCCTTTTGGGCCGCAGAGAGTAGAGCATGGAACAAGATATATGTGATAGATCCGAGTGCGAGATAGAGTATGTGATAGATCGGCCATGTGACTTTCTCAAACTGCAGCTGTTTCATGTCCAAAAGATTCTTTTTTTTGTCCATAGATCGACTCTCCTTCCTTCAGCGCAGGCATCGATTGGCGGCAAATTAACTCCTAAATTATATAGTATAGTTCAACTCAAGTGCGGAAGGGTGGCGTTGTCTTGTAGCTCAGCATCAAATCCTTTTTCCCCTCCTCAGGGGGCCTAAAGGTCAGTCTCATCCATGAGTAAGATCACCTAGCACCATGAAGGAACGAATAGATACCATATTTGGAATCTAAGAGAAACACTTTTTGGACTTGTTCTTATCAGTTCTTATCTGCTAGATTCTGCACCCGTGCTTGAATCAAAGCATGTGTGTCCAGGAGTCCCCACCCATCGTTGGATCCCAAACCCTTTGGGCCACCTATCGGGCGTCTGAGAGTCCGGGCCTCGGTGGTGGCACACATGGCGTCACCATGGAATGTGGCTTCATACTGTATGGCACCGGTCAATTGCAGGATGTTCTTTGATTCATCCAGATCAGCGGCTTGAGAGCTACATTGATGATATTGATGGACCAATTCCAGGATCCTGAGTCCTTTTTGACCCTGAGTCCTATAGGATACCTGGTGCAATCCTTATGAAACACTGATTGAAGGAATGCTTAAAGAGGACGACAAATCCAGGAAGCAACGGTTGCGCAACGACCAGTCACCGTTTCGTACGTCGTCCGTACTTCGGATGTCACAGGGTTCATGTTCACCCCGGTACGTGCACCGCCAATTCGCTCATTAGATTGAGGTTTCATGATCTTGACATGTCACAGGCAGCGCGGAGATTCGGTTTCACCTGTATAGTACTGTATAGTTCTCATTTTTGTTCATATACTTCTACTACTGTGAAGGGCATTTACCAGATACCCCGGGTACCCTGCAGAGCAGAAGGACCTTTGGGGTGCGCGTTCAGACAGTCGCAAGTATCGCCGGTACGTGCACCGCAGATTCCCCCGGTTGTGACGGTGAGTGTCTGCCCTACTTCGGCGGCCAAATGAGCTTTGAGATCGTCGTTTGGGATTTGGCATGGAGAAACAATTCGGCTGCTTTGAGGCGACGAAGCTCAGCTCGCCCTTGCCCAGCACGGCGGCCCAGAAGGGCGATTGGAAGGGCCAGCGCAGTTTCCAGGAGTCACCGGGTAGGAATTGGATGAAATTGGAGGATGAATATGGACATGGGGTTGCAGTGTCACCCCAAAGCCATGCTTCGAAACTAGGAACCCCAAGTTGTTTCAGGTCCTGGAGCAGACAGGAAGTGTGTCTTGAAGATGAGTCGAGTTTTTTTTTTACTGAGGTGGTTGCCATGTGAGTTTGCGCGTTCATTGCAGATTCATCCAGCGAGCCTCAGCAAGTCATAGTGTTCCAAGTTTGATCATGGTTCTATACAAAGTGTTTCCTTGGTAGCTGCATTCTTAAATTCTCAACAGTTGTCGACCGAACAATGAGTGGGGCGGGCCGGGGCGGGTTTAGTTGGAAGTGCCTTTCTGACGATTTGATTCTCGAGGCAGAACCTACATCATGCAGTCCGCGGAATGCCTGAGATTGCGGACAGGCCTGGAACTAATTCAATTGGACCCTTCGGAATTCTGAGGCCAGCAGAAGCTTGAGATGTCAAGTGTGGCTCAGTGGGTCACTGTCACTGCTTCAGAAGGAAACAGATGCAATCAGGTTTCTATTCGCCACGGACTAGGGGTTGCATCAAAGCAGAAGCTCATGGGCGGGGTTTTCCAGGAGCATCCGAGCTCCTTGCTTTGGGAAGCTCATGGCTTTGACCCTTCATGGTGTGTTGAGAGATATTGAAACCCAGCAAATCGTAGGGATAGATCCCTGCATAGGCAAACCATTGCCGACCATGTGGAGGTGGGGTCCAATACGGTCCAATGTGAACAGAGGAGCAACATGGTGCAACGACAATCATCCACAATTCATGAGCCAAACCAATTCTCCTGCACCAAACCGATCTGGACGATGTGCCAGCTGGCGCATCGTCCAGCGCTTCGTCCAGTGCCTCTCATCGGCGTTGTTCGACCTTGTCAGGCTGACGCAAAGATGGGCCAGGAAGACAGCCCGATCCTCAGATCAACGAGGCCCAGGCCGGTTGTTCAGCTACGAGTCCGCCTCGTAGCAGTTGAACGTGCCGTTTCGATGCCCCAAAAACCTTGGCGCTCGCAAGAGGGATGTGCGTGGAATCTTCAGACTTCAAAACTACACAGAGCTATAGAGGGTAAACCTATGTGAACCTCCCACGCAGTCAGTAGGCCTTTGCTGTTCACGCTGTTCATACTCGTGTCCCACATTCTCGTTGACACCTCCTGAAATATGTGTGGATACATGTGAATACTATTGTTCATGACCATGTAAATCCAAAGCGCAAAAGACATGAGCTCATGTGTTCGCAATATTTTCAGAACACTTCTACCCTATGCTAGACTCTACAGTGATTGTTTTATGGTAAAGGAACGTGCAACGCTGGTAGAGGAACGAGGAGGTCAAATTCAACGCCTGGAGTTTTCTTGGAGTAACATTGAAAACGAGCTGTCATAAGCTTCGCCCAAACACTTGTAGATAGATTCCAAACGGCTTGACTTGTTTCAACTGTTCAACTCTCTCAGCTTTTTGCTTCCCTTGAGCAACCAAGGAAAGAGGTCTTCAGAACGCCCTCAGGGAGTACAAGGCAGATGAGCTTCGCCATGAGTACTGAACAGCATTTGAACATGGGTCACACTGTACCACCAAGCAAAATAAAAAACATGAAAACACAATTGATTCATGCATCCTTTGCTGTAAGGTTGTGGTATTGGATCGTTTTCTGCATCGTTTGTGGATTCCTTTTGGACAAACAAACGGGGGCCTTCGTCTCCAGCGGACCGGGACGTTCGGGACGGATGTTTCGTGCACCGGCCAGCTGGGTCACCCGGTTTTGCGCCCGGTGTATTCACCTGGTTTCACGCAGGCAACATCAAGCAACCGGTGAAACAGTTCGAGCCAGGACGTGACGCAGCTGCCGGAGTCTCGAGCCCTACCGCAGGACAGGCGTTTGGGTTTCGCCTCTGACATGGATCCTGTACCACTGCATTTCGGCATTGTTTGTGAAAGCCAGTTGCTGGTGATTCCAGTAAAATGAAGCGAACTCTACTACTTTACTTCCTGCTGTGAGTTCCGGCGCGTAAGCCGCGCGTATGCTCCGCGTAAGCTCTGCATAAGCTCGGGTGTCCTTTTCCACAAGTAGCCCACATGCCTCCTTCTCCGAAACCGTTGCGTCAGCGGCTGCGTGTGGTTGAAGACCTCTATATACAATGTGGTTTGCGCGCATCGCCCTTCCACTTCCACTTCTCCACTTCCTGCTGCTGCTGCTGCTGCTGCAGGTTTGCTGCTGGTCTGCAACTGCTGCTGGTGCTGGTGCTGATGGTTGCTTCTGCCTCTGAGTAGTCTTCTTCGTCCTCATCCTCAAGTGCTTCTTCAGCATCCATATCCGAAGATTGGGTGTAGTAGATGTCCATTGTACAAAGTATGCAGTGCGTAAGCTCCCGTTGTGGTGTCATTTGCATTTTGTGCAAAACAGGTGTCGCGTAAGGTCTGCGTAAGCCCTTCTTGCTCCAAGTGCACCGCGTATACGCACAAAAATGTGAGTCGCGTGAAAGGCACAGGCGTAAGCACGCCGGCGTAAGCACGCCGGCGTTCCGACATGGGATTTCATCCAGGTTTTCTTTCACCGCTCATTTTGCTCCCAGGAGTTCCGACAGCACACACCACCACCTCCCATGCGGATGGAGGACCGAGAGGACCATGTGGGGATGTCAGACATCCCCTGTGACCACAGGTGTAGAAGAAAAATGGGTGTCACAGCTGACCCTTTGTTTGGTAGAAGGCTGGGACACCTCGGGGTGCTTTCGCACTATATAGCTGAGTAGGCAGCTTCAGCCAAGCGCAGCCCAGGAGCGCGCCTTCACACCACCACCCACGCGGATGGAAAAGGACGGGGCCCGGGCTGCGGCGCGCTGCGGGTCCGGAGCTCCGAGCAATCCATGCCAAAGACGGATAAAGACGGTGTAAAGGAGCGGATACAAAACTCAACATGCTAGCGCTTGATGTCAGAAGTTCTCTTCAAATTCAACCTTCGAAGAACCAACTACTGCGACCACTCAAGGTGGACGATTAGACTATATGATTATGATACTATATGGCACTACTGCGACCGGTCGTCGTTTGTTCCATCGGGAAGGTTGATCGGACCAGGAGACTGTTGAGATTCTGTCAACATGGGCAGGTCAGGTTCCGTACTCGTCCACTGTATGTGTGCGCTTGCAGCGGAAAAAGGACGAAAAAGATCAATACTCAGCCTGCACTACCAGATTTGGAGTGGTGGTAGCCTACATTTGTAGCATCCAGAGGGTGGAGAACTCATTGCAAAGTCATGCGAAACCGGATGTAACCAACTTCTTTGGACTAGCAGCACCCGTCTCCAGCTTTTGGAGCGGAAACTCTACACATTGCTACAAGGCGGAAAACAACATATCTGATGGTTCAGTCCGAGTTGTTGAATTCTGTTCACAACAGGGTTGAACACGTTGAACATTGTTGACTAAGCTTTGGCTTTCTCTTTCCAATCAAATGCCTGATTCATGCTGTGCTCTACAAGATTGTGCAGTACTCTTGAAGGTCTTTGTTTCACAATGCCAGCGTGAGCGGCCCCGCTTGGCAAAATTCTGAAAACGGAAGTTTTGGGTCGGAGGTTCAACTCCACGCACTCCATCTAGGGGGTTTACACAGTTCCACTACACGGCTAGGAATTGCATCCACTGACCTGTTACCTGTTGTTGTTTTTATTAACGGTTCTTCCTCCTTCCACACTCCAACACCTCCAAGCTCCCTCCTCCAAGCTCCGTCAGTCGGCCTCGCGGGCGAGCTCACGGCCTTCTTCGGCCACGAAGGTGGGGGGTGAGGGGTGAAGAGATAGTCATCCTGGCGTAGATAGAATAGATGGTCATATGGAACAGTTTTTTGGAATTGGTTCATGTTCTATCTACTCCAGGATGGTTGCTCATGAATGTTTTGGATGACTTCTCAGCTCCACCGATAGTGGCTGAATGAAGGTTTGATGTTGTGTGTTTGTCAAGCCTTAGTTGTGCCTCAAGACTCTAGGCCCAGTTCCCAAGTGTGTTATAATATGTCCATCTTGTTCATAACTTATCGTTCTATGGCGATGGCCAAAAAATTGTTTTAATTGGATTTGAGGTAGAAGTTCTGAACGGGGTATAGGCAGCTGAGACAGTCCAAAGCATTGATGAGGTGGCAAGAAAGATACATTGTGTGTATTTACATTAAACATCATCAAATATATAAAGAGTATTAAAGAGTTAAGTATGTTTTAAAATATATATATATACTGTAAATGTCTATATCGTTTTGGGTGGTTAACTCTTTGTTTTGGATGTCCGGCGGCACTTTTTACAGGAGCGCCGAGAGCTCTCGATCCACCAAAAGCGAAACCATGAGGAGCAGTGTGGAACGAGCTGTCCGGTGGTGTGGAGCAGGTGACCCATCTGGCTGTGTGTCAAAACCCGGAGCTGTACACCCTGGTAGGTTGACCTAGTAGTTCATTGGTTCATTTTCCGTGGTCATGACCCAGGGCCATCTCACTGGGTTGGTGCCATTTTACTTCATTTACTCGAGAGGAGCTTCGTGTAGCTTAGTGTGTACTACATTGGTGAACCAGAATGTCAGTCATAATGTCCGCTTCCAAGCTTCCAGAACTTGTGGGGTTTACTTCACTCATTTGTGTTCATGATGGCCTTAAAGATACTTTTGGAAGGCTATCGGTGATCACCTGACTTGTGCGTTAATTATGATGGAATATATTCCTCGAGCCGAGTCCTTGGATGCAGATGTTGAAGACTTCCGCAACCATACGGAACACCATGTGGAAAGCATATAACACATGCAAACCACCACACTGAAGACAAATGGAAACCGAGCACTTCAATCATGTCATGGGCTTTACCGCGAGCCACCTCCAGGAACACCGTCCCGGCGTGCCTGGTGGCCGCACTGCGGAGCGTTCTGCAGAGCGGCAGCGCTTGGCGAAGGCCCGAGAAGGACGCGGAGCGCTGGCCAAGGAGGACGGCATCCCTTGAAACCAAGCAAATCTTCTTTTTTCTCATAGCTTCTTGCTCCTAGTAGTAAGGCCAGGAGCCCCTAGTAGCGTCCCTGCTCCTAGTAGTAAGGCCAGGAGCCCCTAATAGCTTCTTGTTTCAAATAGCAAAATGACTGATCAAGACATGGAGAATCAAACCTTTGCCAGGATGGTTCTACATCACATAAGGGTATATAAGGGTCAGATTTTCCGGGATCGCGCACTCCACAAGCCATGAAAGGATTCGCTGCCCCCGCCCTGTGCCCTGGGTGTCAAACTTGCCCAGGAGCTGGCACGGAAAGACACGCCGCGCGGAAAGCGCCCTGAGCGCGAGGCGGAGTGGGAGAGCGGAGTGACCAGGTGTGTAGCTGGAATCCATACGATTCATAGGATTCCAAGAGAAAACTGGAATAGATATGCAGATGGATTTTGTTTCGAGAAACCTTGGGAAGCCTGCGTCACAGACACCATGGGTACCGTCTAGCTCTAGTTATTTGAGGGTGGAGGTTACCTCTCAACACAATTTGTGCAGAATATGCTTGAAATGAGCAAAAGCCATGTGATTGTATACACAAGAAAACATAAACTAACAGTTGTAAAAATTTGAAGTACACCTGAAGAGCAGATGCGGTGCAATGTGTCACTTATTCCTATAAATGTATATGGACCAAGAATGGAGCAGCTGCTTTTGATGTCCAAGACACAGCTCATAGTCGCTCATCCTAAATCTCACTGTCACTATGTAGTGTTCCAATAGTGTTGGTTGTTTGATTTGCATTGTACCAATGTTTTGACGCCACGTCTACGACTCCTCTAAACATGAGGAATCAACAGGTCTGTGTTTCAAGATGGAAGCTGATGATGTTCTCATGCCATCTGTGCAGTCTTGAAGCAGATGGTTTACCATGGTTTACCTCAAACCAGCGGTTCTAGTTGATGGATTGAATGGATTCAAGAGTGTTTCGGATCTAGCAACATGTGGCCATCCAATTAAAAGCTGCAGTTCCTGCAATGTAGCTGGCCGCTGACAAAAAGGCATTTTCATCATTTCATGCCGCGATGCATTTCCAGGAGGTTGCAAGACTATCTCCGAAGGGAGATCGAGAGGAGCGGGGCCTTGTTTGAAAGTGTTTTAATATGTCAATATGTTGTTTACGGCTATATTTTTTTCTTTGAGCTGTGTCAACTGAGTCAGCCATGTCAGTGGTGCATGTCATTTTGCCCACACACAGCATTTAGATTAAGATATTTTGATATTTTTAGATGTTTTTATATAAAAGCTTGATAGATATTAGATGCTTTTAGAGCTTTTAGATACTGGAATAGATTTTAGATGCGCTTTTAGATTTTTTAGGGGTCGATGCGGGTTGACAGTCGATAACGACATCTCCGACGTGCTTGCAGAGCGGCACTGCATGGCTCAGCACTGAGCTGACATCTCCGTCGTCCAGGAGAGAGGGCCTCACCACCGGGCAGCCAAGGACCAGGTCGATCTGTCGACCGATCCGAGTTGACGTCGGACGTGCTCAGCTGACTCGGCCCCCCAAAAAGAACAACTGGGGCGTTTGAGAAGGACTCTTTGTGATCACACAACAGTGAAGGTTTGTGCTTGTAAAAAGGCAGTTTGTGAGAGGGGAATTCATGGGCTTCTTCATGGGCTTCTTGGAGAGCCGTCTCTACTTCCGGGAAGAAAACCGAGCTGGAAGACCTGCAGGTGCGCAAGAGCAGCCCGGAGAAGAAGATGGGTGCTGTTCCCGTTGGGATGGCCCAGAAACGAAGGAAGGTAAGCCAATATAAAACAATCAAGCTAAAGCATGGCGTGAAATGAATCAGGAGGCCCCCGCAAGCACAGGAATTGAACACTCTTGTTGCTGTATCATTGCCTGGACACGGTTGGGTCATTATTTGGGTAGCACTTCTTTCTGTCCACGCTCGGATGATCAGGCTCTTCATTTTTTTGAGGAAGACCGCTGGATTGAGTTGTGCCAAGTTTGGTCACAAACCGACTGAGCTAGAACATGCTAGAACGCCCTGGCAAGACAAAAGAAAGGCAGTAATGTAATACCAGCAGGTGGACATCCAGGAGAATTCATAAAACCTAGTGGATATGGATGATGTTGTTCATGTTCGTGAGCTATACAATATCAATAGTTTGTCTTCAACTAATGTGCCTCACCTTTGGCAAATAAAGATCCAGCAAAAATCCGACTCAACACATATATCAGTGTCCTTCTTCCTTTCATCCTCTCACTGATTTGCCTACGTCGCATACGCACACACACACAGACTAACCCCCATTGCCCGTCACTACCCCATCAAGCCTCTGACATCTTGCGGGTGGTTGCTTCCTTTCATCCTCTCCAAGTAAGCAGCTCATACTCTCAAAGCTTTGCTTCTTCTCTCATATTTGATGTACTCTTTTCGTTGCGCAAACGATCGGTTTCGTGGCGCAACGAAACCCTTCGACCAGGCAGACCTCTTCGAGATCCCCGAACAGTTGAGAGAGGCCGCTCCGGCCGCGCCGGCCGCTGGGTGGGCTCAGCTGGGTGAAACCAACGAATCCGGAGGGCGCGGGGCGCCGAAACTGGCCGTGCTCTCTGAAGACGGACATCCCAAAAAAAAAGATCGAGCCAAAACTTGGCAATATATATATATATATATCAATTCAATACCGTTCAATACTAAATACATAAAAGATCACAAAAGATCACCACTGACCATGGTCAGGAGTCAGGCGCTACTCTTCCAGATGGGACAGGTCGGATGTATAAGTCCAGCCCATAAATTGGGAGTGTGGTGACCATGGCCACATGGTTTGGAGAAAAATGTGAATCCGGATTGTAGGACGATGTTTGAGGTCCTTTATGTTCTACGGCAGACACTAGACCTCATTGGGATCAATGACAGCCAGGGAGAGTCTCAGATGATAACACTTGCAATGATCATAGAGATTCACACTCTCACCATGTAGAGATTGGCTTTCAAGAGAACAAACCATTATACATCAAACTACAGTGGGTACATCCAAGCTTCAACCCCTACTTGAACGGGAAGGCGTGAAACGACTATACCTCTACATCTACATTCCTCTAAATCCCTCTACATCTTCAAAGTCCTCAAACGTTTTCAGGCCTGAACCTTGGGAGCTTCAGGGTTTTATCAATTCCCATTGCTTTGCTCATGTGTTCAGGTGCTCCAAGGAAAAACACTTAAAACGCACCACACCGAAAAACCCTCCGGCACATACACTTTCTCTCGGCCACACCGAACCGGCGCAGGCCAAGCGACGCACCGCCGAGCTGGAGTCGCAGCTGGCGGAGCTCAGGAAGTGGGGGAGCTCAGTTGGGACCACCCCGAGTGACAAAGGTCATCAAAGGTCGGTAAGTGGGTTTGGGCTGAGTTGTGTGCAGAGTTCTTTTGGGACCTGATGAGCTGATAGCTTCCCCTGTTTGAGTAGAGTAGGCACTTTCAACTACAAACCAAAACCATCAAAAGCCTTTAGATTCACCACGTAGCTACATGTTCGACCAACATGCTGAGATACGGACAGGTCGTGGGACTGATCGTGTTTCCCACTGCCCTCGCTCTCCAGCTGTGCAGAACATCGCCCAAACCGAGCCGAGGCGACTTCAGCTGCAGGAGAATCGATCCTTAACGGCGCGCACGCTCGTGGCATCAGCTGGGGCGCCCCAGATGGTGCAGGTATTGACTCGGCTCAAGTCATAAAGCAGAAGAGGTAAGGTCATAAGGGTCCTATTGAATGATATATCAATCCTTTGTAGTTATATAGAGTTGTTTTGGATAAGACATGATAAGACTGTTTTCTTTTTTCACGAAAATAAGAGTTTCACCACATAAACCCGGCTCACCATTTTTTGTTGGTTTGGGCTCCTCATTAGTCTTCGGAGCTGAACTCAACACGCAGAGCTGTGAACCGGTGTGTCGGGAACCGGTGCGTTCCAAGCACCGACGTCCCAGAGATCTCAAGAGTCCGAAATCCAATGTGTGTGCATCTGAAAGGCACCACAGGGCAATTGAAAGAACATTGGACTCTAGTGACTGGAAGTTCCAGTCAGTCCTGCAAGATTCCAGGAAAGTGTTCGTGTTTTGCCTTCGTTCGGCAAAGCTGAAAGGTCCAAGCCAGGTGCCTTTTTCTGTTGCTTCGTTTGGCTTCCAGAACACCTGCAAGCAGGCTTCCAGGTTGCATCAGGGTAGGTTCTGGTAGATCATGGACTGCCCTTTTCAACCTCAGTTCGACCTCACATGATCGCTCGCCCACCGAAAGCCGTTCGTTCCGTGGGCCCAGGCAGGCAGCTTGGCCATCAATCCGCCTGCCATCGCGCTGCGGCCGGGGGATGTCTACTACCCGCAGCCTCCAGAGCATGGCTCCCGCACCCCCACGCGCTATTCCTTGGGCGCGCCGGCGGGTCCTCAACAGGTGCGACTGTCGACTGGGCGTCGACTTTGAGTTCGTAGTCTGACCTGGCAGTGCATGACCAAAGACCAAAGACTCCATCCACCAAGAGATCTAGACTGCAGTGGACAGCCCCGATCTTGCGCCGGAGGTGGATACCCCAGCGCCGCAGGCTGCACCTGCGCCGCGCGCAGTGCATGCAGTGCACGCAGTGCACGCAGCTGCGCTGACCGCACGCAGCTTGAGCCCAACACCAGCACCTGCCACTTGGCTTTCCCAAAGGGCCCAGCATTAACAGACGGTGTGAGATTGCTGTGGACACCATGGTGCTGACTGCGGTGATGGGTCGGCAGGTCAGTTCGAGGGGAGACAGGAACTCGCAACAACGAGTCTTGTTATTGGGCCCTGCTCGCGAGCCAGTGGCCCTGCTTTCATGTGATGGACAGTGTGCCCCATTCAGGATGAGGGGCGCGAGCCTATAGGTGGAGTAGGGTGAAAAGACATGGAACACCCCCAAGAAAGCCACCGCCACAGGGAGGATGATGTAGAGCTGTGGATGTAGGATTGGGCATTTTTCATCTAGTTGGTAGGATCCGGAGTTTGAAAGTAAATGACAAGATTCGTTTTGCATTCTGGCAAAGAAGAACATTACTTATTATTGAACAGGTGTATGGAGCAAGCCGGGATGATTTAGTTGGGAAGTCTCAAGCTGTAACAGAGAGTGCATTCTTTCTATGTCTTTACTGTACAATCCAAAGCAAATGATTGATGACTCATTTGAATAAAAAATGAATGCATAGATTGCCAGGAGGCAAATAGAGGATGATCTGTGATGTGTCTAAATGCATGAACATGGCATGCAAATATAGTATAATATGGTATAAATATAGTATAGTGTATATATAATACAATATAATACAATAATATAACATATATATATATATGCATAACCATTCTGATATATACATACTTGAGCATACACCTGTTTGCGTCAATTATATGTACTTCATATACAGTCAATATGTTGATATAGCCGCTTTGTGATTCAGTTGTTATGTATTATGAACAAGGGAGAAACAGAAAAGATGAGGGGATGAAATAAGCTTACTCCTTGTTCCCACCTGGACAGCTGGCTTTGCATCCAAATTCTTCCTGCTCGTCCGCCCTGGGGACCAAGACACGTCATGCCCAGACTGGACATGTGACGTGAGCTCATAGACATGATGTTTTTTTCACACTCATGTAGTATCAATCACTCCATTTTGTTTTATGTGTGGATACAAGATGATACAAGTGGACACTCAATTTCCCTCAAGAACATCACGTCCATCTCTATTAGGTTGGAGGCCATCTCTATTGAGTTGGAGGCCATCTCTATTAAGTTGGAGGCTATTGCTTCTAGGTTGGAGGCCATCGCTTGTAGGTTGGAGGCCATCCCTATTAACTTGTCACGTCACTGAGACCCAGCTTGCCTTGGCAACGCTTTTTTTTCTCTTGCCCAGGGCACCGTGAACGGCGCATGGACCTGGCCCGGACATCTAGGCCGCGGCGGCGCCATTTATGCTGCGCCTGCCGGGGTGGCTTCCCCCACGCGTGTGGCAAGCCCGGGGGCCTATGTAGCTAGTCCACCCCGAGTGGCAAGCCCTGTACGTTGCTCGGCCTTGAAATAAGGGTGTTAAAACGGCTAGAAGTGCAGGGCGGGTGTCCTTTCTCCAGGGGTCAGATTGGTCAGAGCGGATTCATGATTCTGTGTGTTTCTGTGTGTTTTTGCGAGGGTGTTCTGGTGATGTTGGGTCCGAAGTAGGTGATCATGTCGATGAGTTTTTCTGCAACGCGGACAGCCACTACATAGGGTCTGAAGCTTCATATGCTCGCTATGTCAAAGGCCGGTGAGAGGCTCCCTGCCTTTGGTCCTGCTCACTAACATAGAATCCGCCAGTGGAGGTGGTTTTCCTTGAGTTTGTTTTCGGTCACATTCATTAGGCCATAGTTCAGCAATGTTCAGTATACGACTCACTCTTGATACCCGGAAGCAAACAAGTGAATTGCTCATGGCAGTTGTACGAGTGGAGACACGCTTAGACTTAAGAGTGTATGTTCCGGTCTTACTTTGTACACAAAGGTGTCCTAGCAGACTCTTGGTCTCCCAAGGCTTCTGTAATTTCATGATTGTGATTGTTGTTTGGGTGTCGGCCCTGTTTGGAGCGGCATCCTGGTTGCGACATGTTGGATGGTAAACAGTCCTGTCAATAACGGACCTTAACTTCGTCAGGTGCACGCGATCGAATCTAATATGAAGTGCCTCATTGGGTGGCCACTAGGGCCACGTCTTTTTGCCTCAAGGTACCCCATCACAGCCTTTCAATGTGTACGTATCCTACTTCTCCAGGTCCCTTTTGGGGGTTCCATGCCTGCAGCACGTTTTTTTTTAACACGACGTGTGCCCAACCGGCTCAGGTTTCATCCAAGGGCAAACAGTGCCGACATTTTGGTTCCCAAGAACTGTTTCAGTTTCACCTCAGCCATTGCGACCACCGCAATGGCTTGTAATGGGCGAGCCAAATTTGGCCAAAGAGGCCCAGAATCCACAGCCATGTACAGAGGGTTGGGCTCCATTATCTGAGCCTACTTCGACCCTATGAAGAGATGGCGAACAGGAACAAACATGGCTTCACCTGCTGTGTCGTATCAAGGAATCAAGACTGCCATAGCTCTACTCAGCTTCACCTGCTGAATCTCAGTATCTCACTGAATTTCCTCTTCGGAACGCATCTGTTCAATTAAAGGCATGCCGGAGGGCGCTAATATTGTTGGATATGTTGGTGGAATGTGACCGGGACCCAGTCCACAAGAAAGACTACTTATTTGTGTGTTGTTCTCTTTCTAGTGTTTTTCCTGGATGTGTTTGCGACGTTTTTCATTAAACTGCAATCTTTCTCTTGAAGCTGTTGGGATCCCCATTTACTCGGTGATTTTCCGAATGCAAAACCACAACAGACGTCTTCAGAGGCTACTATTCTACTTGTCTCGTCACAAGTCGTTCGTCCTTTGTAGTGGACAACCCATCATGCCACCGTCCTGCTGTACGAGGTCAGCATGACCTCGATCCTGGTTTTTCTGGAGCCAGACACAAACTTCGAAACTTCACAAGATGTTCGACCTCTATAGCCAGTATATAGCCAGTAGTGGCGCCACTATATAGCCACTCTGAGATTTGTTGATGTGTTGCCGGATGCCCCGCACCCCGACTCATCGGACGCAGCGGTTCATCGGACACGTTTCGATCGCGCGAAACGCAAACGCGCGCGGAATTGGTCAGAGCAATTGTGCGGATGGTCGGACGCACTCTGACATGCAACTCCACTAAACAGGCCTCCTATTAAGCATAATGTATGTTTTTGTATGTTTATCCATGTTTATCCCATTCACAATGGGAGTTACATTCATGGTCGGACGCATGACGGAGTGGCAGTGGCGCGTTCCTGATAAAGGGAGCCAAGTCTTGGGAGACAACTCGGAGACTTGTAATTTGGGACGATCTAGTCGATAGAACATGATACGACTGCGAAACCGAAACGTAACATGACCACCGTGATCTCTATAAATCTGTCCAAACCATTTTCCCTTAACTCGACTGCTCATGACGCTTGGGCTGCTTCTTGCTCTCGTGTATGGAGCGAAGGCGCATTCCTGGTGCGAGGCCAAGGGAGGCAGCTGCTTAGGGCAGCTTCATCGCTGCTTGGCCGCGCTTAATTTGGATCAAGCAGCATGTACGACGTCATACGATGCCTCGATTTGGCAATCGTATGTTGTAGAGAGCAAGTTCTTTGATATCCCACCACTGCGCGATCTCCAAATGTGATACGTGCATGTGACATATGATGATATATGATCTATGATCTATGAGCTTCGGTTGTGACGCCGTGATTGGTCGATGGCACATTTGACGAGATTGGATCCCATTGAGCAGATCGATACCATTGCTTGATTGTGTCTACCTGGAGTCTCCAAAGTATGTACACTACACCTTCGAACATGGGGAAGACATCGGCCATGTAAACATAGGCAACACCTTTTCACATATAATTATATATATATATATGCAGACGGGTACAAGAGGCGAGAGAGGGATGGCGTGGGTATGCACCATGGAAATTCAACGCCTGGTTTCATCTGGTTTCTGAGACTTTGTGGATGGATCCCTGAACCCGGGCTGAAGGGCATATATACAAGATATATCATGATATGTGCGTTTTGGCAGGATTGTTTGGAATTTCTGAGGCTTTGAGAAGCAAGAGACACCATCCCTGGTGCCATGCAGTCACGATGCGTGGTTTGGAACCCGCCACCATCACCAAGTTTCTTTGCGCTTGGCAGATTGGGATGGTGACGGGGACGTCGACTTCTTGTGCGGCAAGACGCAGAACGGCACCACGATCACCTTGCAGGAGCAGCTCCCGGATGGTTCTCTCCAATCGCTTGAGTTGCTTCGTAGCACAATGGCGCCATGGCACGACATGGACATTGAAGTCGCTGACTGGAATGGTGATGGGAAGATGGACTTGCTTCTTTGTACCGAAGAAGCTGGCTCAGTCCCCTAGGCAGTTGAATGTGTTTTCATGGAACTTTTGGAATAACTCACCCTGTTCTGACAAGATTTTGCCATCCAGCGGTTTTATATGGTTTTATGGATCGACGGAACAAACTGTCCACGGAAAAGTGTCGATGCAAGATGTCCGATTTCGGACACCAAACAAGGTCACTGTGAGTTGGCTCGAGCACTCCGTGAAGCCGTGTTTGGATGCCGACGTCAAGCACTTCTTGTTTGTGAATGGATCGGAATGCAAAATGCACACATTGCAGGCCACGGGACCGAAGTGGTTTGTTGAGGATGCGTGTTCTTCAACTCATACATACTCATACTATCCCAGACCATCCATGTATGGAATAGTTACCTACATTGGGGTCATAAATAGGGTATATGTATGTAACTATTCCAGACATGGATAGTCTGGGTATGGACCTTGTGAGTGTTTCTTTCTAGTGTTGGGCATCACTGGGATGCGCATCGTGTTATACAACCGCCATATTCTTGCAAATCTCGAGCAGATTTGAGTGGCAGAAGCACGGCAAGTGCAATGCGACGATGTGATGAGTGGTGATGTTTGCTAAAAGATTGAATCATATAATGGGTGTTGTAATTGGTGAGGTGGTTGTTTTATAATGATTTGTTAGCGCCTTTTCTGATGTGATGTGGCGTAAAGATGTGTAAGGTATGAAGTGTTATTTTTTGTCATGTCTTGAAGTTTAGTGCAGCACAGTGGTGATGTGTGGTGAAGTACAATGTGACAATGTGGTCAGGTGGTGTGTGTGATGGTGCGTTGTTTTGCTGACGTATTGGAGCCTAATGCTGCAGTTGGCCGCGTTCCACATTTTCCGCTACCCTCCCCAACATCCACATCGACGCATCTCTTTCCTGCATCAAACATTTCTTGCAAAGTGACTAATGTAATCTAATGTATATCTATATATGTATATGTACACGTATAAGTAATTAATGTGTTTCGACAATTCGACAACTGCAGTTGCATTCCAAAATTAAATGCACTTCTGAGGAACCATCCAAACACCTCACCACGTCCACACAGGGCAAATTTCGCTCGGTTCTCTCTCTATCTCTCTGTCTTTTAACCGTTCTGCACACCCCCACAGTCCAATGATACTTGTGGCGACACCTTCCATGCCAATGCCTTGATGCGCATCCTTTGGCTTACCCCAGCTCATACGCGCGGAGACCCTATTGTTTCTGTACCCGGAAGCTTCCCAGCCAAACAAGAAGATGACTAAGTAAGTGGATATAAGTGATATGACATATGTATAAAGTGGTTATTTTGCCTTGCCAACTCCCCCAACGCGTTAGTAGGACTTGCATCTGAACAGGCGGTTGACTTTGACGAGGATGGGGATGTGGACCTCTTTCTTGGGCAAAGGTACTTCGAGCGTATCTCGAACGACACTTTGATCGAACGTGTCGCCGATGAGAATCCGATCAGCATCTTTGATGGAAAAATGAAGTATATCATTGACATGGATGGTGACGGCAGCGTCGAAGTGCTAATGGACGGATGGGCTAAGGGTAGACATCATCGCCTCCGCTACTTTCGGCGAGCTGCTGACGGCAGCTTTATTGAGTCTCCTGAAAATCCCTTTGCAGACATCTCGGTCACTGTTCCAGGAGGGTACTGGGAGGACATGTCTTTGGTTGATTGGAATTCTGATGGGTTGCCAGACATTCTGCTTTGCGGCTTCATGGTTGACTTGGGATATGTTGGTGCGGGGCATTTTGTGCGTTATGATCAACATGTTCTTGACCTGGATCTCATTCACAATTCTCAGATGGACAGCTACGCGGATATTGACCTTGGCGGAAGACCAGAGATGAAATGGCTCAGCGTTGGAGACTGGAACGGAGATGGTTTTCTAGATGTGGTGGTGAGTGAAAAAGAAGGAATCTTTAAGAGTGATATCCAGCGTGGAGAATCGCCACAGCCCAAGTTGTATGAGAACCGTCCTGAGACACTTGGAAATCGTGGAAGTATAGACTGTATTTGTTTCCCGGAAATTGGGGTGACACCAATTGGGGGAATCTATGACCTCAGCACTGAGCACATTGTTTTTTACTTGTTTCTTTTTGCTGCATTGACTGCACCTAAGGGCAGCCAGCGAAGTGGTTAGGGCTTTTGAAAACGTCACAGCCACTTTTCTCGTCGATTACCCCAACACCAGCTATTGGCGGACCAGTGACTATAGGACTGCAGTTGCAGACTTTGATGGGGATGGTGAGCTAGATCTCATCATATTATCGGAAGCTGATGGAAAGCTCCACTACCACCGAAAGATCTCAGGCAATCTACAAGCTGAAGAGCCAAGGCATTTATTCAGCAACATCACAACCGAGAAGAAACAAAAAAGTGTCGGTTTCTATTTGGTGCAGCCTATTCCCGTGGACTGGGACAAGGATGGTGACATGGATTTGATTCTGGGCTTTCCAGATGGTCGTCTTTTTCAGCAAGTGAACGGCACGTTGCAAGAGTGGCCACTCGAGCAAAGTCCCGTGAGAAATTTGTTGGCTGAATTAGATGAGTTTAGTCGTGGTAAATGGTGGTGGGACGAGTATGACATCATCCGGGTGACTAAAGCATCCGTGTGGAGATTCGTGGTTTCTCTTCTGTGCTTAGCAACAATTGTGAAAGTGCTTTTTTGTTATAACTTGTAGTCATCGCCCATTGAGTTGACCAGGTGTGGGTTTGACTAGGACCAAGCCCGCTGAGGATTGTGATGGCGATGGAGATATGGACATGATTCGACTCAAACCATGGTATGAGAAGCCCTGCTGCGTAACCTACCCCATTAAACACCAGGGTTTGCAGGCGTGTGAGCAGACTGCAGACGGGATGCGATGTGACGATGACTTCTTGTGCCTGAGAATTGTGAACAGCACAAAGTCAGTTTCTAACCGCTTGCTTTTGAGTCAGCATGGGGGAACTTGTCTACGGAACTTCACCTGTTATCAGACGCAGTCCTTGCAAATAGATGCAAATAGTGTGGAAAATTGAATTGACTAGGTTTGCTCGGGGTAACGTTCTGAAACAACCATGTGAAATAAAAGCTAACTGCCTCACCCAATCGAATACGGAAAGAATCCCGCATCACCCCCACATCACAGGGTGCTGATTCGCATCAAGGTGCCTGGGAACAAACCTGAGCAATTTCAAGGGCGACTTCGGTGATGTAGTGACCTTCGATTTGGGAGATGTGGCTGATGGCCGTCTTAGCTTACTTGCAGCAAACAATAACAGCAAGAGTGTAGCTCGATCCGAACCAGAATTATGAATTTGTTCAATTCTTAGTGGTTAGGCAATTTTTTGCAGTTTCCGGTTTCAGCGGTTCTTCAGCGTTTCTAACCAGCAAGGTGTTGCAGTGGAGTGCAGGCTTTTGCACCCCCAAAGGCGCATGCTATGACAAGGGTTTTTGCTTGCGGCGACAGATGAATTGCAGCTGCATCGCCGGGTATGAGCTGGGTGATTGTTCTGGCTGCGAGCCCAACTTTCACAGCCTGCCGCAGAAGCTTTGTTCTACTAAACCTGGTATAACCTGGTAACTGTTTTTCCGGGAAGCTTCGGAAGCCCCCTCAAGTATCAGACGGCGCCTTTTTCGCTGAATGGCTCGATGACTGAGAATAAAGCATTTTCTGTTCAGCTGTCGGCAGCTATCTCCAAGAGTTTGGGAGTTCCGCGAACTCACCAGTTTAGTCTTAACCAGCCGACCGTCTTTTTCCTCTGAGGAAACTGGGGCAACTCCACAGTTGCAGAGCCTGCCCAGGAAATGGAATGGTTTGCCATGGTCGCGGTTCATGTTTTGATGATGCTGCAGCCAAACGTGAACCACAGGCCTGGAGTTGCGAAGGGTTCCTGTATCCAAGTGACAGGCCTTAAGACCCAGAGTCACAAATAACTCATCTCCCAGCAAGTCACTTTAAGTTTTGGGAAGCTAAACAGAATTGTTTGAGTCTCTGATTGCAACAATAATCTACAATAGTTATATATTAATTTATATTTAACTTTTTTTGTATACTTCCCCCTTCAATGGAAATCATAATCGCCAAGATCGTCCAACAGCTGACGAGCAAATTCAGGAGTCCACAGCCGCTTTGACAGCGAAAGGCAATGGCTCATGTGTTTGCCATGAGGAGCATTTCTTCGGAAGTGATGAAGAGGGTCGAATTACTTGCGTGGATGGCAACTGCCCAGCTGGCAGTGCGGAGAATGATGGAAGGAGTCTCAGATTCTGAACAAACTTTACCCAAAATACTCGAAACTCCTTACTTAGCTATAATAGCTACTGCATGTTTTATGTATATTAAAATACGTGTTGCCCACCTTTGCTGGTAGTGTCCAAGCAGCCCCCTATCGAAGAATAGCACAATATTTTTGAGGCGCCATGGACATAGGACCCAGTTGTGTTTTGAAGTACGCCATGGACAAAACAGGACAAAACAATATCAGTCCCACAGGTTTGGACAACAAGTGCGTTTCAGCACACAATTATACAAAATTGTTTCAGTTGAGTCTCACGCGGGCGGCCTGGATGCCTGATTTGCAGCGCATCCGGAGCGAATCTGAGGTGTGAACCCTGTGATGCAGGTGCGTTCTCTCTTGAAGGCGGTGCTTGCAAGAAGTGCAGCCCTGGAACCTTTAGTCTTGCAGCCAGCGGCACCTGTTTGGCATGTCCTCGTGGAACCATTTCATCGACACCGGGGGCTTCAGCATGTGGCCCGGATTGTTGATGATGTGATGTGATGATTTTGTATAGATTTACTGTACCATCATGAGGGAACCTTCAAAGAAGCTTCTGGGGCACTTGCTTTGATAAATCTATATATATATATATATGAGGTACCCCGCGATAGACCTACCTTTTTCTAGTTTTTAATGGCATTTGCAGGTTGTTTGATACATTTTGGAGGTTTGGATTTGATATACAATTTTGGACCTGTTTCAAGCAAACTTTTGTAGTTGTTTTTGTGATTTCTTTGCTGATGAAGAACATTTGCAAGAAATTGCAATTTTTTGGGCCAAGCAGGGGTTCAAGATTCAAATAGACGTTCTTGGATCCCCAGCCCAGGGTTCAAGATTCAATATTCAATATTCAAATAGAAGTCTTCGATCCCCAGCCGAGGATTCAAGATTCAGATAGAAGTTCTTGGATCCCCAGCCCAGGATTCAATATTCAATATTCAAATAGAAGTTCTTGGATCCCCAGCTCAGGATTCAAGATTCAAGGTCAAGGTTCAAATAGAACTTCTTGGATCCCCTTGAAACTTGAATCCTGGGCTGAGGACCCAAGAACTTCTATTTGAATCTTGAATCTTGAATTCCGGTACTTAGTGCAAATTTGGCCAAACAATCGCAATTGTTTGCAATTTCTAAACTGTGGATAATGTCATACCCTCGATGTGTTTGACATGTCTCTGTTTTGATGTGGTGGTTGTAATCGTCTTTGTTGGTGCAGACATGGTGGCTGTTAGGCTGTTGTAGTACTTGTGGTTGCGGTTGCTGATTCATTTGTGGTTGTGATTGTGGTGTTGGTTCTGGTACTAGTGGTTGTGGCTGTTGTGGTCCTGGCTGTGGTGGTAGGAGTGGTGTTGTTTCCAGTGGAATGTCCAATGTCTTTGGACCAGTCTGTGGCAGATTGGTTGACATATTTGGGTTTGGTGGTACCAACCTCTGGAACCTTTCCTGGAGCTGTTGCTCCAATCTATTGAGTGGCCTGGTTGTTGGTGTACCTGTTGGCGGGCTGGTTCCTTTGGTGTCCTCCTTGGCCATTGCTGCATGTTCCAACCACCTGTACGGCCCTCTGGTGTCCTCTCTGGACATGGCTGCATGCTCTATGGTTAGCCACCTTTGCTCATCTATGGTGACATTGGAGCATAGGCTTGTGCCTGTTTGGTCACTGTATGTGCTGGATGAGCTGGCTGGTTGTTCTGTGCCCAGGGATATCTTTGTACCATCGGTGGCTGTGCTCATGGCTGCAAGGTGGTTTCAATAAAGAGGCTTGATGGTGGATTGGTATGTTCTGTTCTAGCATGGTTGTGGTCATATGTTTGTTTGTTGGTATTGAATGTATTGGTGTAGTAGGATGCAGTATGGTATCTAGCGATATTGTTTCTGTGCCTATCGTATGGAGCCAAAAGGTTGCTCGGTTGGGTTTTTGCTTGTATCGTTTTTCTTTGTAAAGACTTTATCATGTATAAACTATTGGATGTAATTGAATTATTTAGTTTTTTACAAACTGGTTTGCCATACAATGGCTTTACTATCAATGAGTTTGCCACGTTGGCTAACTACTTTGGATGGGCATCTAGGCATACTCAAAGAACTACTATATATATATATATGTTTGCAAATTTGTACAACTATAACACTTTGGAATTTTGTAATGTTGAAAAAAGACTAAATTCAAAAATGTTTTCTTAAATGGTCAGTTTAAAATAATAGAATAGAATTTGTATCTACATTTATTGAAGATAATGCGTAATTGATATATTTTTTAACGCAATATATGTATATATAACTGTATTTTCATATTTTAACAACCAATTCAGATAAATATATAAACATGCACTGTATTATATTGTTTTATGATATTGTTTCCGAAACATACTAAATTTATAGAAATCCAAAAGCTAGAAACCTAGTTAGATTCAGATTCTGAATCTCAATCTCAATCCTGAATTAGATTCAGAATCTGAATCTAACTATTAAATTGTAAGGTTTTAGATTCAGATTCTGAATCTAAGTGCTTTTTTTCTAGATTTTTATTTGTTGTCGTACATATAATTTAGAATGTACAAAATAGTTTAAACATATTTTGTTTATACATATGCTTGATAACGTGTTTAAAGTGCATATATATATATAATTTATTCAAAATTCTAACTATATTTAACATTTTTCATATTAGAAAAAAAAACAGCATTATTGTATTGCCAAACTAGGAAAAGGTAGGTCCATTGAGGGGGGTAGCATATTATATCAATATTAGAGAGAGGTTCTTTGTTTGGAGAAAACCCGAGGTGAGGCATGTCCATCTGGAAGGTATGAGTTTCAGCAACAATTCTGCAGCGAGTGTCCGGCTGGTTTTGCTTCCTCTTCCGGAAACAACTCATGTAGCAAATGCCCAGCCGGCTATTTCGCACCAGAGCCTGGAAGCAGCACATGTGTTCCATGCGCCCTCGGCCTTTTCTCGTATGAGGGCAGCGCCACGTGCAGTGCCTGTCCAGCTGGAAAGTTTTCCACTGGTGCCACCTGCAAGAACTGTGAGGCGGGACATTACGCACCAGAGCGAAGTAGCACTTGCCTCCCGTGTCCTGGAGGCCTCTTCTCCGAAGAGGGAAGTGCCAAATGCATCGCCTGTCCAGCAGGCAGCATTTCAGTCGCCGCCAGTGGGGGTTGCAGTGAATGTGAAGCCGGCTTTTTTGCGAAAGATTCCATCACATGTGAACCCTGCCCTGGTGGAACCCGTTCCAGCGCAGCCAGCAGTACATGTCAGAGCTGCCCAGCAGGTGAAGTTTCAAGTCCAAAGAGTGCAGTTTGCACGAGCTGTAAGGGGGTTCTAGTGCGAGCCACTCCGGATTTTGCGAAGCAAAGCTGCCAGATCTTGGCTTTGGATGTGGTCCTAGTGCTGATTGCCTGGATCGCGGCAGCTTGCTTGTGCTTCCTTTGTTTGACCGGCTTCGCATATGGAATTCCTGTAGCCGATGTTTCTGCACAAGGTCCGAAGTTGGGCAAGATGTGCTCTTGTCATGAATCAAGGAGTTAGAAATTAGAAAGTAGGCTTAGTAGCTTTTGATGGCCCTATTGCACAGATGGCGCAACATGCTTGTTCGAAAGCATTCAATTCAATCTGCAATTTGCTGGTGAACCGATTGAAAGCCCCTTCCACCAGGTGCGAAATTGGTGGTGACTACCTCCCTGGCTCACTTCCTTTTGACGTGGGCACGCCCGGAGGCTGGTTGGTTTGGGAAGCAGGTAAACTGCTTTTCAGTATTCTTTCAAATGGTGTAACCAGATTGACAAACATTGCTCATGAATTGTCGATTGAACTCCTGACTCCTGAGGCTCTTGCTTAGTATATAATCTTCAATGGGTTTAAGTCACTCCCCTCCTCATTCTTTGAACGTTGTTTGACGGACTTCACAAACTGTCGATTGTTCCAAGGAGACAACACCCATTTCAACACCCAGCTCAGTGTTGCAGGACGCCCCCGAGAAAGTAGTAGTAGTCGTGGCCCCCCCCCCCTCGAACTGGGAAAAGTAGTCAGCCCCCCTCCTTGAACCCTTCTAACAGGCCATAAAGAAGGATCCTGTGCTACGAGGGCCTTAAAGAAGGATCCTGTGCTGAGGAAGTAGTAGCAGTCGTGGCCCCCCCCCCCCCCGCCACCTGGGAAAAGTAGTAGTAGTAGTAGTAGTCGTTTGCCCCCCCCCCCCCTCCTCGAACCTTTCTTACAGGCCTTCAAGAAGGGTCGTGTGGGCGCCCCCCCCTGCCACACAAAAATTGGAACACCCTTCTGGGGCGGCCTCCAGTGTTGACAGAGCCCTTTCCTTGTGTGGGGGCTGTATACTCTCATCGACACGTCGATGTTTTCGCTCTTATATAGTTGCTTTAACAAAAATAATGCGGGCCTGCTGCTTCGTTTCCACCTCTGAGCCCAGCCTAATGGCCCACCACTTGGGCCGCTTTCAGGTCACCTTCAGTGGCACAGGGGTGCCTGACTTGGATTCGAAACGCTTCTCGGTGAAGCCTTTGAGCTCATTTCAGCTGACGTTGTCAGCGTCTGAGTCGTCATTGGACACCTCCATGGGAGACTTGGAAGACTTACACCGGTTTCTTTCCATAAACAAATCCATATCTCCAGGTCCGGAGATCTTATTTAGGACAAACGGGAGGAACTCCCCAATCAACTCGCTGTTCTGCGGACATCGACGGAATGAATGTCATTGTTCGGGTGTCTCAGATCACATTTAAGGACACCTGCACGTGAAGTCCTTGCGGGGGTTTCTTGTGATGGGTTTCTGGCGCTGTCCTCTCATTGGCTGGTGCATTCTCTTTCTGGGCGTTTTCTCAGCAAGCATCAGCCAAATCAGCTGGTCGTTAACCCTGGTGGTCTCCTCCCTCGGGATGTGCACTGGCGCGTTGGCCTTCGCACTGAGACGGAGGTGGGGCTGCACTCTGTGAGATCCTCATCGGAACTACAAGCTTCAACTATGTAACTATCTTCAACTATAAATACTGTATAGCCACCATCGGTCACAACCCTGCTTTCGGTTGACCCGAATCACTAGTTGGACTGGAGGTGTTTGGTTGTGATTCTGAACCAAATCATGTGACGAATCCCTGTAACGAGGCAAGGTCGCACGCCATTGGTGAAGCGCTACCGGCAATTCTTCAAGGAGTGGCCTTTGGCGCTAGAATGCTCCAATCGCGGGCCCGAGCGTTCCATGGCTGCCGGACAGCTGCAGGATTTTATCCAGCTTCTTGGCATATGCAAGTCTCGAAACTGGGTTGGTTTCAGCTAATAGTGTATGATTTGACTCTGTGGGAAGTTGCACACATGACGCATGTTTTTCGCCTGGCCATGATTTCGATTGATTCTCAATGGCAGTGTTAAAGATAGCCGCACTCTGACATGTTCTGAACAAATGTGGATTGGGCCATGTTTAAGGTTCTTCGAGACCTTCATCAAGGACCGATCAATGTACTACGTGTGCTCGAACATCATCAAGCCGCTTACAGAGCCGTACCAACTCTCCTTCGTCGAAGTGGTGGGCTCGACCAAGATGGAGTGGTTCGTGAGTCACTATTGGGGAATGTCCGTCCGGCATTTTGGGGATGCCATCCGCAAGCATGCCCTCTCCTATCGGGAAGCATGGCGAGATTCCGGCTATTGGATTTGTACTTTTAGCCACCCAGACTCGTCCAGTATGAAATTATGTTGATTTATTACGTTCCCAGGTTGATTTATGTTGGAAAATGTTGGAAATGTTCTATGATGGGGATTCCCAATGTGGATAGCCGCTTTGATGCAACCTGTGTTTCGTTCCCTTCATGCCGCCCTCCACCTTGAACGCCGGCAAAAGGCAACAACCAATGGCGTGTCGAGGAAGAGCTTGGGCAAGGCAATTGGCAACAGTCTTCGTTTTACCTTGCCCTGCAAAGTCCAGATTGCCAGGGCACCACTATGATCATCGACGAGCTGCTAAGGGCCAAGAAGAAGAAACACGCGTGTTTGTTTTTTCACACAGTTTTGCATACAAAAACCGCCTTTTAGGGAAATATGGTGAAATATGACAAGTGTGTTCGTTTTTTTGTCCACCTATGACTAGGCACCAAGAAAACAACAACAGAAGGATCCTCCCGTACAGTACCTATTCCTCGTGCTGTTTTGGCAGCACACCTATTTGTGTTTGGCGCAAAAGTGACGCAAACCCCAAACCAATGTGTTGAGCCATAGCAATATCATTAATGTCTTAGGTGCTCCATGCTTCTACAAGCAACATATTTGGGACCTGACCGACTGTTTTGCCACCCAAAGCTCTTGCATATGTCTCCATCCATGTTCTTTCCCTTTGCACTTGCTCCAATAAAGTTTGACATAGCTTGGCCCATTTTGATCGACCAGCTCACTTTTCTGAGGCTGGTTCTTCCGCTCCAGCGCATTTGGTGCCTGTTCGAAGTCTACCACACCATCCGCCTTGCCAAAAGCGGTCGCTTTCAGGGCCTCTTGCTGTGCACCTCCACGGGTGTTTTGCAAGAGGGGAAGGCGGGCCGGGTTTGGCCGGCAACATTTCTGTTTGCCCAAACACTCAAAGACTCATAGACTGTGGACTAGATGATCAACATAGTCTCATACGTGTTCGTCAAAGCTGAACGAAAGACCCGGAGCAACTGGAGCAGCGCCCCGATCCATCGAACTCACCGGTGCCAGGCCGGCACCGACGTCGCGGTGGCCGTGGCCAAGACGGCCAAGGAACTGGACACGCAGGCGGCACAGGCCACAGCAGAGGAGGATCGACTGATGATCCACGGTCTCATCGAGCAAATGCCAGGTGGGCGACATGGGAAACCACACGGATGTCCAAGCGTTGATGGGGAGGGCCATGGGAGTCCTTCAATTCGGAGGCCGTTTTGAAGTGATATGTCAAAAGCTGTTTGACATGTTCATGTTCAAGGAGGGTGATAAAATAGAGCAAGACCTTACAACTACGAGATGAACATCGATGAACCTTCTCATGAATTTTCTTTATACCTTTCACATCATTTCACAGATTTGTCCACACAACATGGCGTCCACAATGAAAATCCTTAGTTAAACTGGCATTGTAGAAAGTGTGTTTGGGCATGTCATACATAAGGATACCAGGGCAGCAAAGCAAACGTTTTCCTCGGTCAGCAGGTCAGCAGGTTTCGACTTCCTACGTGTGGCTCCACCATGGATTGCTTTCATCTTCTGATGGTGTGATTGATACACTCAAGGGGAATGACTCAATTAGAAAACGGTCGGAAATCAGGAGAGAATGCAACTAAGACATGGAGCTTCCGATCAGGTTTCTTTATGCTTCACCTTTTACATCGGTGTTAGCCTCAACAACCATTCACATAGAGAGGGTGCTTTGAGACTTTTCGCAGCAGTGTGCCACAATGCCTATGGGCCTATTTAGTTGGTGGGAAAAATCGCCTCCGAAATTCTTCAACATGACATGGACAGCTTCTTGCAATAGATGCAAATCTCCGGTTTTACGTGAAGGTCATCCACAGGGCTGCGAACCTTTAAGCTTACGATAGAAGAGCCAAAAACTCATTGGGAAAGTGCCCCTGTGCAATGCCAGGGGGCTTTGAAACCATGAACGCCTATGTGCGTGAGACGATTTGTCATGCCTTGGAAGCTTCGCATCAACATTTCGAACGAACCTTCAGTGGTTTGGTGTGTGACTTGACTTCGCATCCTTTGAATCCTTTGCCTTCGCCTTCATTGCCCACACTCCTCACTTCAGCGCCGCAATGTAGCGATCCAGGGAAATCCATGTAGGGCAGGTGCCAATTTTCCAGAGCTGAGCTCAATTAAATTACAACAAGGAATGCTTTACTTAGATGTGAGGCCGCATCATCTAAAATTTAAGGAATGGTCTGAAATGATCGACCAACTGGGAGACCATTCCATGAGATTGATGCGGAATCTAATGATTGATATGGAATACGTCCACCCCCCCACAAGAGGATTTGTGGACAAAAAATCATCAATCGTATTGAACCTGCATTTGCAGATCGCGATAATTAAATATGTTCAATCTAACCTATTAATTTTCATAAATAACATATCTGAAACGAAATAATCCATATTTAATAAAATAAATATAGAAAAAATATTGATTAGATTGAAAATTGATATTTATATATATATATTTAATTTTGACGATTTATATGAATAAACATATTTTAGAATTATATTATCAATTACGAAAGGTAGCCTGGTAAGGACTACCTTGAGTTTGCTTTGCGAAGCAAAGGAACTGGCTTGAGAGCTTGCTCGGGATTAAAGATTGATAAATTAATGTCTAACACCCCTACCCTCCTTCCCTCCCCCTTCTTATGTGATGATTCATTGATAAATCAATTGATTCGACCTCCTCTCCCCCCCCCTCTCCGTCCCTTCCCCTCGTCGCTAGTACTACTTACTAGTAGTATTCTGGATATAAGATGAAGTCATGCGCTTAGCAGTTATAGCAGTACGACGTTGGCCATGAGGTTGCGCAATATAACACGAACCCTGCGCAATGAGGTCGCGTAATGCGGCTTCGATGCTGCGCGTGCGCACCCGGCAGCCTGACACACCGCGTACTGCCTTGGCAGCCTGACACACCGCGTACTGCCTTCTTAGACTATATTGCTCGACACCAACGAGCATCGATGCAACACAGCCTCTCTGCAAAGCCCTGTGGAGAAACCCTTCGCGTCGCGGAACACCATTCGACTCAGCCTTATACCCTAGCGTGGCGAAATCTTGCCGCATCGTGGAACACACACCCACCATAGCGTGACATCCATCCCTGGCAATACCGGCCGCACCCCTCCAGCATTATCCTTACAAGGGGGTTGGTCACTGCGGCTTCGACGCAACGCGTGCAGGCCTGTAATCCTGACACAGTGCGTGCAGCTGTGGGACCATAACTGCATGGTACACATGCAAGCGTTTACGCATTGCGACTTTTACGCGCGCCTGTTTTCACACACCTTTACACAAACGAGCGTCGACGCAACGCAGCCTCTCTGCAGAGCCGTGTGGCGCAATCTGACCGCAACGGTGTTCGTCTTGAGCCTTCTTGCGCTCTCTGGCTTTGTTGCTTTCATCCATGATTGACGAAGGGGCACGTTCCTGAAACACCGGAGGCAGTCCCTCACCAGAAAAGGTCCCGACAGCTCCCCGGTCCGTCTCTACCTTTCGTGTTTCCCCGCTCAAGTAAAATATAGGAATAATACTTTATTAAATTAAATTAGGAATATAAGAAATATATTGAATAAGTTATATATTCTTAATATCGTTGTTAATAATATATATATATAGAATATATAATATATATATATTATATTTATGGATAAATATGCGATTGGAAATTGAATATTTAGAGGCTTACGCCTAACAGCCGGGCGCCGGCCCACTTGGGTTTGTGGGGCGTATGCCTATGTTGGCCTTGATGGGGCCTATATTGAGCAAAGTTAAGCTATTTGGTGCGCATAGAATCTTGGCGCTAGGTTGGGCCAAGTGGGGCCCATGTGGTCTGTGTTAGACCTATGTTGAGCCTATGTTAGTTTACGTGAGGCCTATGTTGGCCGAGGTTGGGCCTATGTTGGCGTCTGTTGGCCCCAAATTGGCCTATGTTGGCCCTATGTTGAGCCATCTTGGAGGCTATGTTGGGAATATGTTGGCTATCTTGGGGATATGTTAGGCGATTTCTGTTGAAAAAATCTTCCGATACAATTTTTTACGATTTTTCCTGCCCGCAAAGCAAAAACCCTGTAAAAACCTACGTTTTTTTATATCCCCAAGATGAAATTCTCGCCCGCCCAGGGGCCCAAAACCCTGTAAAACACTGCTTTTTTATACCTCACACACACGATACACTGTAAATTACAGCGACTTCAGTGAACAGGAAGTGACCAGGGGGTCCCCCCGTTTTGGGAACGAGGGTCGGCGGCAGGGGGCGCGCCCGTCTATAACCTTCGGTTACCAACCGAAGGCCTCCGGCGAGGACACGGGCGCGTGGCCGGCGCCCGGATTTAAGGGCTTACGCCCGACAGCCGGCCAGGGGCCCAAGCAAAGGGGGGCGTTGTTGTTGTTGTGGTTGTTGTCGTTGTTGTTGGTGGTGTTGTTGTTGTTGGTGGTGTGGTTGTGGTTGTGGTTGTGGTTGTGGTTGTGGTTGTGGTTGTGG